TTTGGTTCAACAGTATGTGTTCACTGATCAATTAAAACAGATTGGGTACAATAGTAATATGGGTGAAACTGATTAGAGTGGGTTTAAAAGAGAATTTTTTGGGATAAAGGGCATTAGGGATAGTGAGTTGGAAAGATATTATAGAGAAATGGGGAGGAAAATGGGGCAGTAGTAGGAAGAAGTAGGCTTAAAAGAAATTTCTGCTTTTTAAGGTGGGAAAAATAATAGCATGTTTGTATACTAATGACAGTAGTCTGATGGAGAGAGAAACTGGTGACAGTAGAGATGGAGGTAGAAATGCTAGAGCAGTGTTTTTGAGTAGGCGGGAGAAGATGGGATCTGGTCCCCAAGTTAATGGATTGGGCTTTACCCAGAGAGTCAAACGGTTCGGCTATGAATGGGGTTGGCAAAATGCGGCCTTTAGGCCAAATCTGGCCCTCTGCCTGGTTTTGTAACACCCACAATCTACAGGTATGTTTTCTACATGTTTTTAAGTGATTGAAAAAAATCAAAAAATTTTATGGCACATGGAAAAGATGTCATCAAACTTCATAGCCATACTCAATCATTTATATATTGCCTATGGCTGCTTTTGTGCTTTGACAACAGTAAGTAACTGCAGCAGATACTGTGTGTGTCCCTTACAGAAAAAAGCTTGCTGATACCTAATCTATGGTAACATGAAGAAAGGTAGAATACGTGAGTACAGATGCTGGTAGATGGGTGGATAGAGAAGTGGAAGCTTGTAGCAAAACTCTTCATTGAAGTAGGAAACAGTTACGAGCTAAGAATGAGGTTAGGAGAGAGGAGCTGTTAGAGGTTTGAGAAAAGAGGAAAAAGTGTTAAAGAGAAGAGTCATAAAATGAACAGACAAGGGGATTTTAGCCTGTTTGGCAGGCAGGTTGAAGGGCCCACTTGAGGTTCTTGGTTATTAAAGAAAAAAAGTCACCATATTGTCTTTCTTCAGCCATATTCAGCTGTGCAGAGACAAATGTACAATAGGTTAAAATTTGGGTTTAAGCAGTATTGGGATTTTTCCAAGGAAATGTGGCAAAAGAAAACAGGAGCAGGGGAGTTGATATATGCAAGGGACTGGCTATGGTGACTAACGATGAATTTAAGCTGGGTGAAGAGGGGAGAGAAGGCATCAAGTGAGAGAGTGATTTTGAAACAGATTATGGAAGATTTATTCTCGGTAATAACAAGGTCAAAAGTGAGTGACTAAGGACATGTAGAAGTCAAGATCTTTGGGGGAGAGAATATCAAGGAAGAGAGAGACATGGTGTTGAATATGTAAGTCTCCATAACCTGGAAATTAAGATTTAGGGTAATACTAAGCCACAGTGAAAATTTTAATTCAGCTAGTTAGTGAGGAGTGACCACAAGGTCAGCCGATGACTGCAAAATGAGAGAGAGTGAGTTACGTAGTACGATAGCGTCAGATTCCGAAATCTGTGAGTTTCGTCAGAGGAGGAAGGGGGAAAGTTCTGGCAAGAGCAGTAGGAGAATTCGGCTGTGTCTCTAGAGCAGAGGCTGAGGGTCGTGAGAAAAAACAGCTGTCACTGGAGAGACTTATGAGGAAAGTGATATTTTCTGGGGAGATTTGGGTTTTAGTTAGAAAAACTGCAGCGATGGGATTCAGGATAAAGAATATTCTGCTAATTATGGATACTGAAGGCAGACCAAGTGTTTCAGGAGCTGGGAAGCAGTGGGAAATGGAGACAAAATAGGACGCAAAGAGCAAGTAGAGTGCAGGAGATAAGGCATTATGACACAACACCTTTTCTTCCTTTATGGTTTGAGTATTTGAAATTGTATTGTTCATTTATGTGTGTATATGCATGTATAACACATAGGTTCCCCCTTCTGTGTAGCTGCCCTTGAATAAGAGCAGGGAATTGTTTATTATTCGCTGCTGCATGTGGAGGTCCTTTAACACTTCCCTCTATTATAAAGAGGAGGAAGAGAAGCTGGTGTATTACCAGGTAGAGTTATATATTTGGTGGTAGCAAATATTCTCATCTTCTCATCTGTGTAAGGCAAGGTTGTCAAGTTGTGAGAAAGGGAGATTTAAGAACAGTGAGAAAGGTAGGGAATAATTGTGAAGAGCAGGAAAGTGAACCTGCCAGAAAAACTTAATGTCTCTTCCTAGTACTGAGTGTCCATTTTAGGTTGATTATAATTGTTTCCAAAGGAACCTTTGAGCAAGTGAGCTGGAAGGATAGGATAGGAATGTATGGTTTAAAGTGAGACTTTAATTTGTCCTTTTACAGGTGCTGTAGTATCTAGCAGTGACAGGTATAGAGAGTGAATGACTGAGATAAAGTAGAGTGGAGGAAAGAGGATCTTGGAGATGGAGAGTTCCTAGAAAGCTGAGAGACCAGGCCAGGATGTTGGATGAGTCATCCATATGGATATTGAAATTCCAGAGGAAGATAAGAGTTGGAGTGAAGAGGAACATTCTGAGCAGTCCCATGCTGAGTTCCAAAGATCCTTATAGTAGTACTTTGTCTATAAACTAAAGTGTCATCATCATTCTTTTTTTTTACTTCCTTTTTAAAAAAGTATATAGTGAAATATACATAAAACTTAACATCTTAACCAATTTTAAGTGTACAGTTCAGTGGCATTAAGTACATTCACACTGTTGTACAGTCATCCTCATCCATCACCGAAACTTTTTCATGTTTCCACACTGAAACTCCATATCCATTAAACAGTAACTCCTGTTCCCTCCTCCCTCCAATACCATTTGACTCCACTGGGTACTTTATATAAGTGGAATCATATGGTATTTGTCCTGTTATGACTGGCTTATTTCACTTAGCATAATGTTCTCAAGGTTCTTCCATGTTGTAGACTGTGTCAGAATTTTCTGCCTCTTTAAGACTGAATAATACTCCATTGTATGCATTACCACACTCTGTTTATTCATTCACCCATCAGAGGACAGTTGGGTTTCATCCATCTTTTGGTTGTTGGGAAAAATGCCACTGTGAATATGGGTGTGCAAATACCTTTTTTTTTTAAATCTATTTTTATTTTTTATTTTTTATTTTTGAGAAGGCACCTCTCATATTTATTGATCAAATGGTTGTTTACAACAATAAAATTCTGTATAGGGGACTCAATGCACAATCATTAATCAACCCCAAGCCTAACTCTCAACAGTCTCCAATCTTCTGAAGTGTAACAAACAAGTTCTTACATGGTGAATAAGTTCTTACATAGTGAACAAGTTCTTACATGGTGAACAGTGCAAGGGCAGTCATCACAGAAACTTTCGGTTTTGATCACGCATCATGAACTATAAACAATCAAGTCAGATATGATTATTCATTTGATTTTTATGCGTGATTTATATGTGAATCCCACATTTCTCCCTTATTTTTTATTTTATTTTTTTAAATGCTGAAGTGGTAGGTAGATGCAAGATAAAGATAGAAAGCATAAGTTAGCGCTGTAAGAAGGCAAGTGTAGATGATCAGGTCTGTGCCTACAGACTAAGTATTAATCCAAACTAGACAAGGGCAACAAAACATCCATGGATGCAGAAGATTTCTCTCAAAACAGGAGGGGTGAGGTTCTAAGCTTCACCTCTGTTGACCCCCAATTTCTCACCTGATGGCCCCCCTGCGACTGTGCCTGTCTTAGGTTGTTCCTCCCTTGAGGAATCTTACCCGTCTCTGGCTAACCAGTCATCTTCCGGGGCCATACAGGGAAATGTAAAGTTGGTAAGTGAGAGAGAAGCAATATTCTTTGAAAAGGTTAGCTTTTTACTTCTTTGCAGATTTATGCCCTGTGGCTTCTATGCCCAGCACTTGTCTTGAGGTATCTTTACCGCTTGGAAGAATTATGATACTCGGTAATGAGGCATGAATTCTACTAAAGGGTTGTAATTAGGAAGGAAGAAGAAAAGCTATAGAAGTAGCAGACAGAAGAAAACATGAGAAGATTGATTATTTCTTTGACGTAACTTCTTGTAGAGTAACATAAGCATGTATAGGTTTTAACAAACTACTAATTAGATTGCGTACACACATTAACAGAATAGGAATACAGATACATAACAAAAGTAGACCTACAATTACTGGCCATATCCAGTGAAACCAAGAAACCCAGTTAGGTAACCCAGGCATTTGTGAAAATGCAAATACCTTTTTTGAGTCCCTGGTTTCAATTCTTTTGAGAGTATACCCAGAAATAGAATTGCTGGATGATATGGTAATTCTATATTTAATTTTTTGGGGGAACTGTCATACATTTTGGGGGTACTTTCATAGCTGCACTGTTTTACATTCCCACTGGCAGTGCACAAGGGTTATCATTTCTCCAAATTCTTGCCAACACTGGTTGTTCTCTATTTTTTTATCATAGCCATCCTCAAGGATGTGAAGTGGTATCTCGTGTGGTTTTGATTTGCATTTCACTAATGATTAGTGATGTTGAGATATTTGTATATCTTCCTTGAAGAACCCTTGCCCATTTTTTGATTGGACTATTTGGGGTTTTTGCTGTTGAGTTGTAGGAGTTCTTTATATGTTCTGGGTATTAATCAGATAAATGACTTGGCCAATGTTTCCTGCCATTCCGTGGGTCACCTTTCCACTCTATAAAGTGTCCTCTGACGCACTTTTGTTGCTTGTGTTTTTAGTATCATATCCAAGAAATCATTGCCCAATCCAGTGTCATCAAGCTAGAAGTTATAGTTTTAGCTCTCATGTTGAGGTCTTTAATCCATTTTGAGTTAATTTTTACATGTGGTACAAGATAAAAGTCTAACATCATTCTTTTGCATCTGTTGTTTCACTATATAGAGAATAAAGACAAAACTTTCTGGCTATACAAAATAAATGTTCATCTCTTTACCTATATTACAGCAGTATCTTTGCCTTGAGGGTGAAACTGATTTGGAGAGGAAGGGTTAGCAAATAGTATTGCTAACTTGGGATCTCTGAACTGAACTGCAAGAAAACATTCATTTCACTCTGTCTCCTTAGAGCCAAGATTCTGGGTCTGATAATCGTATAAACACAGTCAGTCTCAAGGAAGCATTGGAAAGGTTTGATCACAGCCCAACACCTTCTGCTTCCTCCCGGAGTTCAAGAAAATCATCTCACACAGCAGTGTCAGACCCTTCCTGTGAGTACACTAGCGTGAAAAACAGACCTTCTTTTAAGAGAGTGCTTCTAAATTGTTTGTGTTACTGATATCAGCAAATGCTATTAAAGTAACTTTTTACATTTACTTTCAAGTGAGCAAGAGGCACATTGCTCACGTTTAGCAAACAAATTTATGAAGTAGATTGATTATAAAACATGTAGGTAGTGATATATTGTTAAATTGTTTTTAATTAACATCCCTCAGAAAGAAAGCAAAACTTCATTCCTTTTGTACTGGTGGACCCAGTAAGTGTTAACTTTGCTTTTTGAAAATCTTTTTAGTGCTTTTATCTTTATAAAGACTTACAAAATTATCATTAAATTAGTAACCTTTTTTTAAAGAGTTTAGCACTTCTTAGGGAATTAAAACTATATACAATAAGGAAAATAATGTTAACTATTCAACATCATGGGTAGAACATCAAAGAAGTTTAAACATACAATTTCTGAAATCTTAGGAAGAACATTTTACCCTATTATGGCTATTTCTTTCATTGAAAAAATTTTTATTGTTGTAGGATCACTTAAAATGAGAGCTACTCTCTCAAATTTTTAAGCATAGAGTACATTACTGTTGACTATAGGTACAGTGTTGTATGGCAAATTTCTAGAGTTTATTCATTGTGCTTAATTGAAACATTATGCTTTTGATTAGTCCCCATTTTCCCAGACCACCAGCCCTTGGCTATCACCATTCTATTCTTTGATTCAATAGATTGTGCTATTTTGGATTCTCATATAACTGAATCATGCAGCACTTCTCTTTCTGTCATTGGCTGATTTCACTCAGCATAATGTCAAAGTTGAATAGTATTTCAGTGTGTGTATATACCACATTTTGTTCATTCATCTGTCAATAGACATTTAGTTTGTTTCCACATTTTGGCTATTACCAATAGTGCTGCAGTGAACATTAAGTGCTAATGTCTCTTTGAGATTCTGACTTCAGTCTTTTGGATAAATACCTATCATTGCTGTTCTGGATCATATGGTAGTTCTCTTTTTAATTTTTTGAGAAATCTCCATACTGTTTCCACAGTGGGTACATCATTTCATATCCCCACCAACAGTGTGCAGGGGTCCCAGTATCTTCACATTCACTCCAACATCTTTTGTTTTTTTGATAATAGCCATCATGTCAGGTGTCAGGTAATATTCATTATGGTTTTGATTTGCATTTTTCTTGATGATTAATGATGTTGAGCAAGTTTACACATATAGGTTGGTCATTTGTATATCATCTTTGGTGAAATGTCTATTCAAGTCCTTAGGCCATTTTTTAATTGAGTTATTAGCTATTTTACTACTGAGTTGTAGAAATAGGAACCATTTTTACAATTAATTTTCCTACTTCAAATATTTCTTTTGTTCTTAAAAGAGAAGTAATTAACACAAATCATCTTATTGTCCTAGACTTTCCTTTCATTGAATAATTTAGACCACTTTTATTTACTGAAATGCATTTTGAGATCAATCTTTGAAAACTATGTTTTATAAAGTACTAATGCTGTTCTGTTTTTGTTAACTAACCTCAGCAACACCAACAAAGATCCCAACGGATACTAGCACTCCTCCCAGACAGCATTTACCAGCTCATGAAAAGATGGCACAAAGGAGGTCATCATTTAGTAGTCAGGTAAACGCTCTAGTTAGTATTTTTCTGAATTAAGATTCATTAAGAAGGAAAAAATTTATCTAAATCTTCAGAAATTCATTGCTTAATTATCCCTCTCTATAAATCAAAATAATTGTTGATATAGAACACTCAAGATCTTTCTTTTTGTGAAGTACTTGTCAAACATCCCAGTCCTTTTGTTTATTTTTCAGGTAAGATATTAGACTATTTTTGAATTTTGAAAAGCTGATAATTTAGAGCCATTTTATATTTAATTTCAAATACTGATCACTTTCAGTTAAGTCCAGTCAGCTTTTATTGAGAGCCATACATGTTATGTGGCAGATGTCTTAGAAGATTGAAAGATAAGTAGGAATCAGGTATTTCCAGTCTGGAGGGGGAGATGTGCTTTTACTACACTAAGAAAAGTCTGAGGCAAATTGTAATTCACTTATAAAGATACTATGGTGATATTACTGGTGGAAGTACTCATGTATGGGGCTGATTGTCACTCCAGTGTCATTTTTTATTTTGCTTTTAGTCTATAAATTCCCCATCTGTTGGTCAGTCATTATCACAGCCAGCGATGTCTCAAGCTGCAAATTTACCAATTCCACAAGGCATGTCCCAGGTATTTTTTGTTTGTTTATTTATTTCAGTGGAGTATTTTAAAATGATAAATTCCTTTTAAGCAAATACTGACTTTTAAAGCTACATGCTTATTCATACAGTGAATCTTAGCTGTCCACATTTAATCTAGAGGTAATGCAATTGTCAATGATTGTACAGACCACTAGTCCTTAGTAGGCAAGGGCCAGGGTTGCTAATTGTCTTTCAGGATGCATGACAGTTTTACACAACAAAGAATTATCCTGCTTAATATGCTATAACATACCCCTTGAGAAATACTATAGACAAAAAGATATTTAAGATGAAATAGAGCTGGTCATTTTGTTCTTCCTGTGGATTTTGGAAGAATCAAGTAATTCTCTTCATGTAGTCATTCGTTCATTCATGCATACATAGGACGTTTATTGAGTTCCTTGTATGTATCAGATATTGTAGGTGCTGGCATTGCAAATATATCTATAGTCAAAGGTTTTATTACATCTAGAGGGAATGACAGATAACTACAGTATCATATAGTCTATACTCAAGGTACTCAAGGTGTATCAACTGATATGTGAACATGTTAGATGGACTCTTAATGCAGCCTGAAGAAATGAAGAAAACTTTCTGGAAGAATTGTTGTTTGGGCTGCATCTGGAAGGAGGCCTAAATATAGATACTAGGAAGACAAAGGAGAGGGTATTATGACAGTGACACTAAGTTACTTTTGTCTGTAACTTCCCAACGTGTAATTTATGACTCCGCACTCATTCAGTGTCTCAGACACATTAACAATACTATAAAATAGTGGAAAAAATCCAGAACTTTTCTGTTTTATTTGGTGTAAATATACCTTGACATAACAGTATCTTAATTTCAAATGTTGATAGTTAACAGTAAGTAAAAACATTTTTCTAAAAATACCTTTATCTTATATGGTTATTACTTAAATTATACATATACAATTATAGCTGTTATACACTATGACACTAGCAGACATATATTAACAGTATAATTATGTAACCATCATAATCTTGACTTCCAGCAACATATGATCATGTAAGGTATTTATAACAGGACTGTATTATTAAATATGTTTTGTAGTTGTAATAGTTTTTATCAACATTGAGTCCTCAAATGCTTTTTGTTCTATATAATTCTTTGTAAATATTTAGACATACTTGCAATATTATTTGTTCATTAACCTCAAGACACTGAGTAAGCATTTCTTAATATTTTTAAGGGATATTTTCATGAAATAGGTAATATTTATGTCAAACATGTTCATAAGTATTCAAATCTCACATTTTATTCAGTGTTCAAGTCAAACACTGCCCTTTAGTACTATGATTTTTACTTGCTGTTGTTCTGCCTTCTGTGTTTGTTTCTTATTTGTACTTAATTGAATTTCTGTAAGTGGTGAGACAATGTAATGGTTACCAAAAGGGAGAAATAACTTCAGTTAGAATAAATATATTTATATGACATAAATATAACATTTCAAAGAATATTTTAAAAATAAAGGCAAGGAGGAGCTGTACTACATTTTGTCGTATTTTCTCACGTCTAGTGTAATCTAATGCAAAATATAATCTGGTTATTGTCAACTTTAGAAGTCAGAGTTACATACTTTGAAAAGTAATATTCAGTATCCTTAGTACCAACTTCCAAAGATAGAAGAGAAAGCTTTTGGGGGGCATTTCTCACTTTTAGATACAGTTCACTATATAAGATTATTTTAAGATTAAGACAGATTTCTAAATAAGTACAATGCTTTGTGTTCTTATCCTGTGTCCTATGCCAAATAGTCATGAAAAAAATTTAACCTGTATAGACTTAAGTGGTGAATCCACAAATATGGTTAAATTTCAAGCAGTTGTAAACAGAAGCTGCTTATGATGCACGTAAAAAATATAGCCAAGTAAATAAGATTGAAAACCCTGGAAGTAGAACTTCATGTTTTCATCCATGTATGCATTCATTCATTCATTCACTCATTCATTCACAATTGGTTAGTCTTATATAAAAGCCTGTGTATTGTACTTGTCTGAGAACAGTTATAGTTGAAAATATGAGTAAAAATGTTTCAGTTTTACCTGTCAGATTTTCATAACTTTCCAGTGATGTGTGCAAAGAGGACATTTTAGGGATGACAGAATTTGATAGGAATAACTACTTTTTTATTTATTTGATAGGCTACTTTTTTTTCATCCACTAAAGGGTAGAAATTAAGTCAAGTACTGTAACTTGTTCTAGCAAGTGGTGGAGCTACAATATGAATTCAGGTCTCCTAATACCAGTGTGTTCTTTTAGTCAATTAAGATTAAATCAGAAGTCAAAAGCCATAACGGAAACTTGGGCAGGGTTAATACAAAACATTATTAACTGGTAACAGGGATTAACTACTAAGAATATTTAAAAGTACTCTGAAGAATACAGGAGTAACAAATGTAGAGTAACCACTAACTATAAGTAACAGGGGGAGTATCCATGAAAGAAAAAACTTTGAAGATTTCCCCAGTGCTCCTAAACTCCTTTTCCAGGCTGGGCTGAGATTCAGATCCCATTGGGGCAGGTGTATTTGTAGCCATTGGATGGTAGGAGAGTTCTCTGGGGTGCCACAGCCTACAGCTGGAGTGCAGGAAGCCGTCTGCTAGGGTACCAGTAAAATTTTCTGGGGATCTGCCCTCTAGGGTGCCAGTCAGTCTTTCTGGAAAGCCAGGTGCTGGGGTGCTGATGAGACTCACTAGGAAGTACCCAGTGGCACAAGAATAAGAAGAAAAAGCACCAGAACCAGAAATGCAAGTATCTCCCTTTGCATTATTCCTCCAGCACCATCTACTGATATGACTAAGTTTTCACCTGCTGACAAAGGAGAAGTATTTATTAGGGTCCAGCTCCAGTATCACAAAGCTGAGCAAAGATGGGTAAATTAGGACTGAGAGGCAATACATTGGTAACTGGCATAAAATTCTTAGCTCATCATATACTGCTTACTTTTCGCATTGCACAATTATGGGGAATAAGTGATTCTAAAGTATGTTACACTTTTTCCATACGTGGTACTTCAGTTTCAGTTTTCAGCTCAATTAGGAGCCATGCAACATCTGAAAGACCAACTGGAGCAACGGACACGGATGATAGAGGCGAACATTCATCGGCAACAAGAAGAGCTAAGAAAAATCCAAGAACAACTTCAAATGGTCCATGGTCAAGGACTGCAGGTTAGTTATTATTATGTTTGAATACAAACAAAGCACATCATTCACATTTGGATTTCTTAGGAAAATTGACTTTTCTTAATTACAAGTGAGATGCAAGAGATACATTTCGTAACTTAGTTCAGTAAATACTCATTGGTTTTACCTACTCATATTGAGTGAATTTATAGTCTTTAAAGATAATTCATTCCTAAGAGTATTTCCATCAACATCCTTGTTTGTCTAGATTAAAGCCATATTTTAAAAGTCTAATTTCTAGTAAGCCCAAATACATAATATAAAAATAATATTTTTACATAGGCTCTTAAGTACATGTACGGACAGAACTTTTAAACCAATCATCAATCATTGATTTAATAAAATACCAGTAGGTATGATTCAAATCAGTCTTATTTGATCAACTAGTAAGACCACTCTAAAGTTAATGTCTATCAGAGGAGACCAACACTTTCGTAAAGGGAAACTTTAAATGAAAACTGCTCCTGTTTAACACCATACATTCTAAATAGGAAGTGAATACAGAGGTGCCAGTCCACCACCTGTGAGTAGCACTGAGTTAGGGTAATGCTGAATGAAAAAATAAACAGCCCCCCTGTAAAATGCTCAAAGAAGTGGAGATTTTGAATTTTATAACACTTTTCTGACATATGGAAACATAAAGAGCAAATATGAAGTATTATGTTTTATTCAGTAATTATTTTAGCTAATTGTTCATTCCAATGATTTAATCTTGTTACCTGCTTTTTAAAGTTATATGGTAGCTTGTTTTTGCTTCCATTTTTTATAACTTTTGTCGTTCTTCTTTGTTTTTAATTTACAAAACTAATTTTTAATTTAATCTTTATCTTTAAAGATGTTTTTACAACAATCAAACCCTGGATTGAATTTTGGCTCTGTTCAGCTTTCTTCTGGAAATTCATCTAACATCCAGCAACTTGCACCTATAAATATGCAAGGCCAGGTTGTTCAGACTAACCAAATTCAAAGTGGAATGAATACTGGACGCATTGGCACAACTCAGCATATGATTCAACAGCAGACTTTACAAAGTACATCAAGTCAGGTAACACTGAGTACACTGGGCTATGGAGTGTTTAGTGATTGAAATGTATACTACTGCTGGAACAAAAGTAAAGCTCTATCTCAAACAGTACCATATTTAAAACTTGACTATTAATAACTAGATAGTATTGAGAGTCATCATTAAAATATTTTATGCCAAATTGTTAAATGTTAAATGCTTTCATATTTTGACATTTTAAGAATTTTACAATTTTTTAAAATGAACATATAGACTACTTCTGTATGTTAAAAATGTTTGACTTGCAAAAGAGGCTGACCAGGAAAAATATTACATGTGTGCAGAATATATTGTTAGGGCAGTGATGGTTTAATTAATATTCCAGGAAATTTTGGTAATTGGTGTTCATCTCTGACCAAATTCCAAGACTCAAATAAAATATATGAAAAATGTCTGATGTCAGTCATTCACTTTAACAGAAATTTTTCATGTATTTTTATATCATCCCTATTTAGTTCATGCTCCTTTTCTAAAGTCATAGCTTATACCTTCCAGCAAGATATTGAAGACTAATTCATTCTCGATCACTACAGGTTATTCCTTTGTGGTTAGATTTATTCCAGAATAATATGTCCTGCCACTTCTTTCTCTATGAAGTCAACTATTGTTAAAATGAAAGACGCATACCTCCTGAAAAAATTTTTTCAGTTAATCTATCTGTAAAATCTCTTTTCTAGCAGAGTCAACAAAATGTACTGAGCGGGCACAGTCAACAAACATCTCTCCCCAGTCAGACACAGAGCACCCTCCCAGCCCCACTGTATAACACTATGGTGATTTCTCAGCCGGCAGCTGGAAGCATGGTTCAGATCCCATCCAGTATGCCACAGAACAGTACCCAAAGTGCTGCGACGACTACCCTCACTCAGGACAGACAGATAAGGTAGTTGTCATATTTCATTAGTCATTCCAAAGTTGTAAATTGATTGATGAATTAATAATTTGATTTTTAAAAACATGATTTTGTTTGTTGCTTACTCCAGCCAGCATTTTTGAATTTGAAACAAAAACAGTGACTGTATACATTAAGGATTTTATAATAAAAGAATAATAATAAATTTTGTTTCCTGTCCAAAAATGTGCTACCAAATATTGTAGATCCAAATCCAACAGCATGCTGTTGTATGAGTGAAGAAGCTGCAGGATCTCAGAAACAATGAGAGCAGGGAGAATTCATTGCTTTCCTTTTGAACTCAGCTCCTTCAAGTTAAAAATTTGTACAGGTTTTAGCTCTAACATCCTAAAAGAAAGTATTATGAATGTGCTCCATAGCAATGTAGAGGACTAGTTTTAAAGCCTGGGGGAAAAATCCATTAATTTAGAATGCTGACATGCATTTTGGCAAAGCAATTTAGCAACTATTGGTGGACATGTTTTTTGAGCGGGGGAAACATTTCAGCAAACATTTTAGTGCCTACTTACGTGAGTATGGCACATTCCTTGTCCGAAGAGAAAGACAAGACTATAAAAGCCATTGGGAGGAAAACAAATCAGTGTTATTTGGTGTGATAAATACTTTTACTAGGTCTTTAGACAGGAGAAAGTGAGTAGTTTTATGACTGAGGCAAGCAAATAAAGAGAGGAGTTTGGTCGCTTCACAGAGGAGGGCCTCAGCCGGAGCCTTTTACGGAGTGCAGCTTTGGGTGTGCTTGTGGGGGGGGGCCCAGGGGGCATGTTCTAGGCAGAGGAAGCGCTATGTAGGACACCACAGAAGTGAGAGTTAGGCAAAAGCAGATGGAAAAATGTCTTTTGGTGCCACAGATAACGTATTCACATCCCGTATTTACTAGTGAGCAGCTGAACAAATTAGGTACTAATTTCATTTAAGATCACAGAAAAATTAACACTTCTGTGACTAAGCCATTTTGTAAATACTGTTTCTTGGGGTTTTCCTCATAAGGAAATTTTTTAATTCTTTTATATGTATTTTTTTGCATTAAATAGTGCATTTAGTCCTGAAGTACATATAGTATTTTCAAGATTTAGCATAGATTCACAGATTTATTTTGTCTTGTGGAACATAGAAAGAATAAAGTATGCATCTGTATTAAATTAAATATTGTTAAGGGCTTTAAACAGTTTGTAATTGTAGTTATGCTACATCTACAGTAGAGCCATATCTCAAATTTCCTCATAGTAATGGCCAGAATAGGCAAATAGAAATAATATTGTTCCCTGAGGAGGCATAATTTTGGTTGTTCTTCTTTTATTGAAGAAAATAGAAGAAGGAAGGTCAGGGGGAAGGGGGAATATTAGTGAATCCTCACCCAGTGGTTACTGTGATACACTGATACATTTATAAACTTACTCCCTGTTAGAATGTCATTTAGTTTTGGATAATGTTTATGAGATTAAACTTGCAGTATAATATCTTCTATAAACCTAGAGTTTTAAAATTTTTTCTTATGAAAGCTTTAAGTTTCTTCATGATTAGCAAAACTGAACCATGTGCCACATACATCTGACTCCGAAGGGCCTGGTAATTTTATTTAAAAAAAACAAAGTTAACATTTTTTTAACAAATTAAAAATTTTTTTAATTGTAAAATATATATAACATAAAATTTACTATGTTAACCATTTGTACACGTATAGTTCATTGGCATTGAGTACATTCACAATAGTGACCATCCCTACCACCCATCTCCAGAAACTTCTTTCTTCTTCCCAAACTGAAACTCTTGTACCCATTGAACAGTAACTGCCCATTCTTCCACCCTAGTTCCTAGAAACTACCATTCTATTTTCTAAGTACATAAGTTTATGAGTTTTTTTTTTGGTATCATTAATGTACAGTTACATGAGGAATATTATGGTTACTAGACTCCCTCCATTATCAGGTCCCCACCACATACCCCATTACAGTCACAAGTGTATGAATTTGATTACTCTAGAGACCTCATATGTAATGGAATCATTAAATATGTCTTTTGTAACTGGCTTATTTTACTTGGCATAATGTCCTCCTGATTCATCCATATTGTATGTGTCATACTTTCCTTCCTTTCTAAAGCTAAGTAATATTCCATTGTATGTGTATACCACCTTTTCTTAATCCATTCATTCATTGATGGATGCTTGGGTTGCACACATCTTTTGGCTGTTGTGAATAATGCTGCTATGAACATGGGTATAAAAATACCTGTTTGAGTCCCTGCTTTCATTTTGAGTATATATGCAGAAATGGAATTGCTGGATCATACAGTAATTCTATATTTAAATTTGGGGGGAATTAACATACTGTTTTCCATTATAGCTGCAGTTTTATACTCCCACCAGCAGTGCACAGAGGTTCTCATGTCTCCATATCTTTGCCAACACTGTTTTTATTTTTTTCTGTTATTGTTTATATATATATAAAATAGCCATCCTGGTGGGGGTGAAGTGCATCTCATTGTGGTTATTTGCATTTCCCAATTTAGTAATACTGAGCATCTTTTCATATGTTTCTTGACCATTTGCATATCTTCTTTGAAAAAATGTCTATTCAAGATGCTTGCCCATTTTTTAATCAGTTTATTGTTGAGTTATAGGATCACTTTACATGCTCTAGCTATTAACACCTCACCAGATATATGATTTGCAAATATTTTCTCCTATTCTGTGGGTTGCCCTTTCACTGTGTTCATAGTATCCTTTGATTCACAAAAGCTTTTAGTTTTGATGTCCAGTTTACTTTTTCTTTCATTGCCTGTGCTTTTCATATTTTATCCAAGAAATCATTACCCAGTCTGATGTCATGAATCTTCTCCTATGTTTTCTTCTAAGAGTCTCATAGTTACAGCTTTTACAAAAAAAAATTTAGGTCTTTAATCCATTTTGAGTTAATTTTGGTATATGGTGTGAAGTAAGGGTCTAACTTCACTCTTTTGCATGTGGTTATCGAAAAAAATGTTTGTAACTTTGATTATGATTATTTCATTTTGCTATATACATTTTTGTTTTACTGGTATCCCAAAAAGAGTCTTCAAAAACATGAAACAAAATTGGAACATAGAGTTTTTAGAACAACTAAATTGGCTTATCATTGGGTATTATCTTAGGGAAATATTCAGCCACTGCCTTTTATAATAAGCACTTTATACTTCTGACTCCTCTTTCTTTCTTCTTAACAGATTTTCTCAAGGTCAGCAACTTGTGACCAAATTAGTGACTGCTCCTGTAGCTTGTGGGGCCGTCATGGTACCTAGCACCATGCTTATGGGTCAGGTGGTGACTGCCTACCCTACCTTTGCCACACAGCAGCAGCCACAGACATTGTCAGGCACACAGCAGCAGAGCTCCCAGGAGCAGCAGCTGACTTCAGCTCCACAACCATCTCAGGCTCAGCTGACCCAAACGCCCCAGCAGTTTTTACAGGTAACTCTCCTGTGCAGAAGTTGTCCCAAACCCATTTACTTTTATATAAGGAAATCAGGCATTACATGAACAGTTTTGTAAATGAGGTGAAAAATCCCTGGAAACTTACTATACAAGTTAAATTTCTATAAAAACAGAGCTTGTCCTGGTTAGCTTTCTCTTTCCTTCTTTGGTCTTTGGAAGACTTTCAGCCCTGCCACAGACGTAGCTAATTATCTCAACTGCTGTGCACATCAAGGACTTTACCTAAAGCTCACTCTGGCTAAAGCTTCTGCAATTCAAGGAAAGACACCTTCCTTCCTTTTTCTAGCAGGCCATTAAACTCTGCTCTACAGGGCAGGAGTATGAAAAGCGATTGTTGGACATTAGTATAGGCATTATCTTATTTTCTTGGATTAAGTTTTATAATTTTTCAATTGTAAATTAGTATCAAGGAGAAATACTGTGGAGGCAGTATTATGTCTTAGTAAGAACTTGGGCTCTAAAGTCAGGCTGCCCTGAGATGGAGTCACTGTGTTACCCTGTACTGTGTGACCTGTGAGTGGTCACTTAACCCGCTAAAATTCAGTTTCCTCATCTGTAACATGGAGGTGCTTAATAATGTCTATCTCATGGGTGAAAGATGCTTGTAAATCACTGAACACAGTTTAAGGCACATAACTAGCGATCATTTATGACCACTACCTTGATAAATGTAATAGACACTCTGATTAACCAAAATGCAGACACAGAGCTCATGTGGGTAGATCAGGCAGGATCTACTTGTCTAAAGGATACAGAAGAAAGTCACCTAGATTGGGATCCTCAGCAAGGAGATCAGTAGGACACATCTCTGGACCTCAGTACCCTCACTGGGGGTGCACAGTACAGATTATGACACCTGGAAGTCCAACTTCTTCCCTTCTGGCCTAGGGGAGGGCAGTTGTGAATGGAGGCTAGCCTAGAATTTGTGCCACAAGACCATTCCATGTAGGCCAGGCATATGTCAATTTTAGAGTTACCCAACATATGGTACGATTAGAAGATGGGGTATTGTACTGTATATTCAGGCATAAACACAGTAATTTATTACCCTTGGTGTTCTGAAGCAAATGTAATTGTTGACTTGGTAATGTGGGAAACTAAACAGGTTAGTTGCCTAAATATCTCTAAGAGTTATAGTCCCTTGACCTTAACGCCATACTGCAGCCATTAATGACTAGGTTAGCTATTGTTATAAATGGACTAATAACAAGTTATGAAGTATTATCTAGGGGAAATATATTCAGTGAAAATTAAGCAAAAGCTTAAAAAAGGAGAGGACTTGCCTTAAGATCTAAGTCTCCTATCAGGGAACAAAAGCCCTTAAAAGGATGAATATTCTCTTCTCCCCAACTTGTACAGAAAGTATTTTAAAGATGTGGGACCCCTAAAGAAATAAGGCAGGCAATACCCTTCAGAAATATACTTATATGTAGATAGTAATCACACAATTTGGTTTTTCTGAGTGTATCACACTTAGTTCCAAAATGTCTCTCTTTTGTAACCCTGTAAAGCTCATAAATATCATGAGCCTAAGAAAAGCATTTCCTAATAACAAAGATAGTATGAAAATTCTCCAGGTCCATAGCAAAGCTTAATGGTTGTTAAGGCTCAAAGATGTGTCCATTTGTATGTGTGCATATTACGCACATGCACAGTTGACCTTCATATACATCTGCAAAAATCACAGTTCTGTTCTAAAATTAGGAACCCTGCACCAAATGTCAGTAGTGAGGGAAGATGTTCATTTTAAAAATTCACTTTCTTTTGACTAGTTGCCTTTGTATCTCCAGAAGGAAAAGAAACAGGCTCATCAAGTTTGGACTTGCCCAAGGTCACACAGCTAATCAGCAGCAGAGCAAAACTCAAAGCCAGGGGTGCCCTATTTTGTTTTGGTTTGATTTTTGTTACACCACACTGCTACATATAGGACTTAAGTCTCTGACTTTGCCCTCTAAATTTGCCCTCATTATCTTTAAGTCATGTTAATATTTAATCTTCATAAGAACCCAGTAGGGGCATTATGGCAGTTATCCTTATTTTGTACATGAAGAAACTGAGGCCCAAAGAAGTTAACAGTGACAAAGGCACATGTGTAGTAAAAGAGGCAGCAGGAGTTTGAACCCAGTGTGCCTCCCCTCAGAGTCCCTGCTCTCAGCCACTGAGCTGCTGCTCAAACCAGCTGAATGACCCTCTGCATAAGGCATTGTCTGTCTGACCTCAGAGTATCTGTGATTCCTGTGTCTTAGCCATGCTTATATTTTATTATCTGTGTAAGGGTATAGTCTTAGGGACACAGAAAGTGGAAGAATGTGTGTAGCTTGTCCAAAGATGTAGATTGCATTCTATGTCATGTACTCTCTAGCTCAGATTCCTTAAAATAGAATTGTCATACTTTCAAAAAGAGAGAAAGCTTCATGAACATTTTCGAAGAAAATATTTTTAAATGAGATAGCAAAAATTATGTAGATTATAGGGATTAAAGGATTTTGTCCCTATGAAGAGTGGAAAACTTGAGTAAATCTTAATGTAGGCGATGTAATGGGGTAAAACAATGTTGCATAATCTGTTTCTTTTCTAGACTTCAAGGTTGCTCCATGGGAATCCTTCAACTCAGCTTATTCTCTCTGCTGCATTTCCACTACAACAGAGCACTTTCCCTCAGTCACATCACCAGCAACACCAGTCTCAGCAACAGCAGCAGCAGAGTCGGCACAGGACTGACAGTTCAACCGACCCTCCCAGGGTTCCACCGCAGTAGCACGAGTGCCTCCTCTCCGACCCCCCGGGGCAGAGGGGGCTGGTCCAGAAAGGGTTGCTCAGATGATCTGAGGACAGGAGGAAGAATTCCAGCAGTTGCATGAGATGTAGTATTGAGTGTTCTAGTTCCTGGAATTAGAGGGGAAATGCTACCTATAGTGCTCCAGGTGTACATTAAATACCAGCCAGCAGGAGATGATCATAGGGCCATAGCCAATTCTAACAGTGTTTTACTGGCCTAGATAGTTTTTGATGGAAAAAGAGTATATTGCCAAACGTTAAGAAGCTCAGCTATGAACATGACCTCCAATGAATCAGAAAGGCACCAACAACGTTAGTAAATGTAGTTGTTCTGTGCCTGTTTTTAAGTGTTACAGAGGACACACCAGTCATGTCAGGGGTTTGCTTACCATGAGGCCATGAAGACAGTCCAGTAGACTTCGCAGGCCCCCTTCCCATTCCCCTCTCCCCTTTTCAGATCATGATGGGACAGAAGTTAATTTCAGAATGTTGTGTGGGTTCAAATTCTTTATGTATAGATGATATAAAAATATTATGTGTATGTCTGGATAAAAGGAGAGAAAGCAAAATGATTTGTATGCTGCATGAAAGCATTATCTCCTCAAGTATATGTCCTTAGATTCTGACACCATGTGCAGACTAATACATCCTCTGTTTTTCCTTTTGTTTACAGCACAGTAGTGTTCTACTCATTTTTCCAGGGCACAGGTCTTACTGTTCATACTTCGGTTGTGATGCCAGTTTGTTCAGTGAGGTATAATGTGCTGCTGGAAATGGATTTTTTTTTTCAGGTTAAATAATTGAAACAACAGGATTTTCAAGTTACTCAGAAATACCCTCATTTCATTATTTTTCAATTATGTTTGAAAATAGGATTTGCACTGCTTTATTTTAGATGGTTGGGAGTTTTGATCACATATATTTTGATATAATTCATAGTTGGAAATAGTTGTATAAGTGGTTTTCAACAAGCCTGAAAGAAATTTCCAGAATGTTTCAGTTATAGGAGTAAAATTTGCACACAGAACATTTTAGGCACTTTCTAACATTCTCACTGGTGGGAATTTTAACTTTTAGGATTTGTTGGAATCTTTTTATTATCCTTCACAATTTCAATGCTTCTTTTAGTCAGAAATGATTCAGGGTTATTTGAGAGAAAAAAAACCCATAGTGCCTTGATTTTGATTCAGGTGATAACTCACCATGTTGAATTCATTGTCTGGTTTCAGTAGCAGTTTTGAAACCTTAGTACATTTTTAACAGCATGTGTGTGTCAGAGCCATCGTTATTCTCCTAGGTTCCTGTGAAGACTGCTTTGAGTCTCTTGGACTGGAGGTACAAATAATTTAGAAATAAAAGATGACATCCTAACACTGTCAGTCATTAATGTGATCACAGAATAGTTTTCCTAAATCACCTTTCTTTAAAGCTTAAGGAAAGGTTAATTTAAGATTTATAGTAAATATTTGCTCAGTATGATTTTGATATTCCTACAAAGAAAAAAGGAGAGGTAGGAATTGGCTTTGCCTTTATTACACTGGAATATTGTAACTCACATGCTCTCTAAACATGAACTAAGATTTCATTTGGCAATGTTGTATTCTAAAGGTAATAAATACCAACAGGTGTTGCATACATTAAAAAAGCATTTTACAGATGTTATGGTACTAAAGATATACAAGTATAGTGCAAAGGAAAATTAATGCAAAATGTCTTATATTAAAAATTACTCAGTAAAGGGAGGACAGCAAGCTGTAATAAATCAAAATTGAACTTTAAATGTGTGAAATGATTGAGGTTGTTTAACAGAAAAGGCTTTAAACAATGAAAATAACCTAATACAGAAATGCTAGATGAAGGAGTCAGAGGAATTCTAAATCAATTCTTAAGACTTTTCTGTCCTCGACTTTGCTATCATCCTTAAGGGACATAGTTTGTTTTTCTGTAGAAAACTCTACCTGGCCACTTAAATTAGAAAATTAATGCTGAAGAAGAAAACAACCAAAGAAAGTTGGTATCTACCCTTCCACAAAAGAAGTGTCACTAGATACCAACTAATAATTAACATATCAGGAAGCTCATTTTCTAGTTAGATGATCCTCTGGAAGAGATTTCTTTCTCATGAATGTCAAGAATAGTTATCAGAATGTATGTGGTCCTAAGCATAATACATGTAGATGGAATTGATGTAGAATGTGGCAACAGTATTTTCTCCCGTCTGATTGCCTTTCTCAACCTTATCATGCCGTTCCATATATATATATATATATATATATATATATATATATGAGTTGTGCCTCACTTATTTATTGGCCATATCTAGTGATATGTATGGATTTAGCCAACAAAGATATGAAGAACTGTTAAGGTTTATCCTCCAAAAACCCTACTTAAAAGGAAGATCGTGGACTGTGAGTACTGTGTACTTAGGTTTGCAAAGGCCAGGTGTAAGATGAGCCACAAGATAAATCTGCAGACTGTTTATTCACATTCTCCTCCACCAGTCCCTTCAGATATTGTCCATTCTCAGACATTTGGAGAAGAAAATTAGACAAAATTTTGCTTTATAATTCCTGTTGTTCCTTACAGCTCATTTTTCTCTGCTTAGAGCTGATTGCCTAATTTAAAGGAACATCTAGCTGCTTTGCCTTTGCTGTCAGTATGAAGTGTTGTGTTGGAAAAGCTAGTAAGCACCCGCTGCCTCTTAGCTCCTTCTCAAACTTGGTTTTCCTTCTGTTTTTCTGGAACTTCAGTTGCAAAACTATCCTTGCTCCCTTCCCCATGAACTAAGACTGGAGCTCTCTGATGAAGACTTAGCAGTTGCCTATTCTTCATTCATTTCTGTAGCCAAAGTTGTTAATTAAAATCCCAAATCTAAGTCATGGAAAAATACCAAATAGGAACACCTTTCAGCTGCTTAAAACCCTGTCTTCCCTCTGCTTTACTCTCGTAAGATACTCAGTTTTTCTTTAAAAAATATTTTATTCTGGGTAGCACTTTTAAGGTAGAAATTGTTGAAGATAAGGAAGAATGTTTGCTGTTCTGCAGTTATGACTTGGGACTGCTGTGGCACTGGGCGAGTCGGGATGTTAACAACCACAAATGAGGACTACGAGGATTCATAAAGTTGCTGCTGAGAGTTGTGTCAAATCAGAACATAGACATTCAAAGTGCTCCATTTTTTGAGTGGAAAATATTGGAGGAAAAGCAAAAAAGAGGGATAGGGGTAGCATGTAAGTAAACACTGCAGTTCAGTCTCCAAATGGCTCTAATTTGAGGGGGTAATTGGAGTCCTGTGCTCTGCCTCGTCACTTATATCCTGTTCAGGAATGTGTGGTAATAAGAAGATGCCAGTGACTTTGAGCTGTTTGTTGTAGAATACTCAGTACAGAGTAGTAAGTGCTGTGTTTGTGGCCATTGCATTAAAGCAGTCTGCTTGCAGTTATTTAAGGGCATTGAAGCAAAGCAGCTCAAAAGGGCATCGTGTGCTGGAGAGAGATGAACCCCTGTTCAAGGAGCCTTAGAAAGGGGGCCCTTAATAGTCTGTTTCCCCTCCTCTACACGAACAGGTAAAAATTATTTTAAACTGGTTATTACTCAGCTTGTTTTAGAATGTGTCCACTATACTGAGGCAAAAAAAATTTTAAGTGGAAATGCAAGTAGCATTTTACTCTAGGATTGTTCATTTCTACTTTTTTTTCTATACTTCTTTGGTGATGGAAAGTTTTTTGAACATTTGTGTAAATTGCATTCAAGTCTATAACCTTTCCAGTATCTGTGACCCTGTTCTTAGTCCCTTGGGATTCAATGTTGGAAGATTTAAACACTGGATATTACTATTTAGCTGAGTGAGTCTAGCCGGGAGTAAGCAGACTGGGATTTCTATATGGTGGAAAAGAACAGCACAAAGGCACTCGCCATTTTAACAGTGATTGGAGAAAGAGAACCTTTTAAGTTTGTTTGGGTTGGGTGAGCATTCTTCTTCTAAAAGGAGCTTCTGAAGTAATTGCAAAGGAAAAGAGTCGACTATTTTTATAGCATATTTAATATATTTGTATATAATGATGAATATAGTAGGAACCCTCCACAGGCCTCCCACTTTTCTAATTTAGTCTCCCTTTTGCCATAGCACTAGCATAACCTCGTCCGCATGGTTACGTGCCTATTGCCAGCCTACCAAAAGATAGTGCTGCTGCTTTCTGAGACAGGTGAGAAGAGCCGACTCTCATGCCTGGGGATCCTTTATAAAGGAATAGCACACTCTTTTAAAACAACTTACCACAGTCTAAAGCATCATTTTGAAATGTAACAAGCACTTTATTGCAATTATTCATTTTGATAAAGTTTATTATCTTAGGCATTACCATTTCCAAAGGATCCCCAAATCATCACTTAGGTGAAATTTAAAAATGATACATTTCTGAGAAATGTTTAGATCCAGTGAACCGTAGTAGGTTTATGGGAGTGATTTCAAGGTAGCCAAATGAACTTTGACTTTTGTTTTGAATGTGGTGGACTCGAGATTATAGATGCCTAGTTCCATTCAGACACTATTGTAAACCTGTCTTGCCTATTATGTGGACACTGAGAGAGACCAATGAGCCTGTATAGTTTCAGAGGTCTAGGAAAACTACATCAGTGTGAAGAGATGTACAGAACTAACCTAAATTGATTGGTGGTAGTATTTGAGAATACGGTAATTTCAAGAATTTATTCTGAGTGTTTTAAATGTGCTCTGAAATGTTGGCATGTCATTTCAGAATTTCCATTTGAATTGCTCTTGTAATATTTTTGCACAAAAAGGACTGAGAAAAAGACTGTTAAGAAAAAAAGTATAATTTGGTCTTATTTTAATGTCTTCTATGGAAACACTGGGGATGAATTTTGTTGGTATAATTATTAATTCAGGATATTTAAAACAGTGTTGAACAGTTCACAAGAAATCAATATGGATATTTAAAAATTTAAACCTTCCTCCCATGTGACTGTTTTGCATATTCCCCCCCATGTCATAATTTAACACTACATTCCTTGTTTTTCTTAAATAAAATACTTTACAGGTTCCGTCTTGAGTAATATTTTCTAAGCTGCCTGGGTTTTCCTAGGAGAACATTTTTTAGTGAAATAGGACAGTTAATTGAGAGACTGTTCAGTGAGATTCCATCACCACCACCAGCAAACACTAAGGTGCTGCATAAAGTGACAATCATAATAATATTTATGGAAGAATTTAGAAAGTAGTTTTAAAGCAGATGCTTTGAAAGCAGTTCTCTGGGTTTCTTGAATAAAAATGGCTAAATGTATTTATATTTTTAAATATCTTTGTGCTGTTTTCTCATCAAAGTGGTTTCACAGTATCATGAATTATAATGTGGTGGTGGTTTTTGCCTCATCTTTTACGTGGAGACCTGGCCCTTACCTGGGGTGCAGTCTGCAGCCCTCATGACAGCTTCATGAGCAATCAAAGTCTGTTTTTGACTAAGGATGGCAGTGGAGCCGCTTCCCGATGCCCCTGCACTTCCCTCCTGTTCTCAGCTCAGTTAGGAAAAACTAAAGGTAACACCTTGTAAAATCTGCTTTGTATAGCTCCAACCTTTTTCTAGTTTCACTTGCTGCCTTTTCTCTTTTCTGGGTATTTTTTATATGATTACTTCCTCAATTCAGCCACAGCCCATCTGACAGAGCCAACAGCACATATTGCCCCTTTTGCCCATTTGGGTAAATGTTAGTAATATATTGAGCATCTTCTAATGGCCTTCACTAACATATCCATATTCAAATCCATTTAAAGTCCTTAAACATACGTAGGTGGAACAGTGCATGAATACTGCCAACTCTTTTATAAAAATGTTTGCTGATTTTTATGGTGTAATGTTGTTTGGCCCTTTAAAAATGGGCCACCATGTTCAGATACAGCTCTATTCAATAAAGTGTTTGAACACTTGAAGCCTAGAATCTGAGGATACTTAATTGCCTGAAGTAGGCACTGGAACAGAGTTCTCCGTCCAGAGCTCCTGGAGGAACTCGAGCCCCGTACTGCCTGGTGTTTGGAACCCAGCAGAGAATGGGTAAGCAAAGCATGTCAGCTACAAGTTGGACTTACTGATGTGAAGTGTTTAAGGGTTAAGCTGAAGATGTGTTTTCAGACGCATACTTTTACATTTTAGGAAACATTGTGACATTGCTTTAAAAATGACATTCAGATGTCTGATAATGTATGTTTCTTACTGGTGCATATTCACTGCTGACAATGGTTATGCCAGTATTAAAGCTGGTAGGAAAAGATGTATTATCTTTAGTTTGATGTATTAGGCACGTCAAATGGCCAGGCCATTTTTAAAAAAATTTTGGCCGTAACGGCTGTAATTTGAGACCATTCTAGAATTACTTTGCAATCTATTCTGCATGGTTTAAGGTGGGGAAAGGCCTCAGCATGGCACTCGCACACTCACTCTGTGTAGATTGAAGCCCAGAGAGGAGTTTAATTCAGTGCTGTATCCAGTTAGTGCAAAAGAAGACTTATCTTCTTACACTTTTATTGCTAACATCAATTGGTAGTTGAAAAACACACCAGATTCTTTGTAATGTTCTGTGTGGTCCTTAGTGCACTACTCTTGACACTGCTGTTAACACTTGGTTCTTCATTTTAAGTAAAAATTACATGTATCCCATCATTCTTCCAAAGGGTGGAGCTATAAAATAGCTGATCTTAAGAATACCTACTTTTCCTAAAGCAGACATTTAATTGGAATTCAAATTGATTTACAAAAATGAGACTGACATTTTCCAGGTCTGCCCAAATCCTAAATTGCAGAAGTATGAAGGGATGATGGTTTCACCAGTGCTTTTAAATTCTCTGCTGATTTTCATGAGCTATGCTTAGAAATACAATATTGTATAAAGTATGAGTCACTTTGTTACCAGTTTAATATTGCCATTTTAATTTGGTGTTACAGTTGGTTACACTTGTTTTCCAAAACTGTCCTTTGAGAAGAGGTGAAATGTGTTATTAGCCTACCTCCACCAGTGTATGATCACTTTTCCAGGTTATGATGTGCAGTTTTTAAAAACTACATGTGCTATTAATTATAATGCTCTTTCCTAGACTCGTACAATGTATTCAGAACTTAAAATTAGAGCAAAAGTCAAACAGTAGCATTTTTTGTGTGTACATGTAAAATAATAGATCCAGACTTTGTTTCCTTATTCAATTTTAAAAATAAAAAATACCTCAGTGCTATTTTTCAGTATCACCTGCATTTCTCAAAAAATAACACCTGCTTTATGTGGCACAAAGCTTGTAATGATCACATGATTTTGGATTTTAAAGAAGGGCTATTAAATTTAAAGATCACTACCAATGACATTTTCCTTTCTTCTCTTCCACAATGGAATTAACCACACTAGTGGTTTTTGCCATGTGGCTTAGGTCTGATCTACCTGATCCTCTGTAGTTTTGTCCTGCCCTTGTTACAGGATTGTGGTGCCTCAGAAAGCCATGCTGTTACTCACAGACCAGGCCTGTACTGGAACCAGGCTACCTGCACCGACAGGTTTGGACTATGATGGTACCAGCTACTTCCTAGCAAGGACTTGTCCTTTCTGTTCTTGGAAAAGAAATAATGTAATTCTTGCTTGCTCTGTTTATAATAATCTAACGCAGTATTAGGGGTACCTGATGCAGATAATGATGGTGTAATCTGGGGGTGGTACTTGACATTTCTTTGAAGTGCTTTATCTTAAAAAGCACTGTTTCTACTGTAATAAACACTTTCTATGGTAGAGAACACTTTCCAAAAATGACTTATTTTTCATCAACCAGGTACAACTACTTTTTAACTGACAGCCACTCTCAGATCTTAGCAACAGTGGTGAGCTCTCTTTCCCACCAAGACTGCAGAAAGGCCACTGTATCGCCAGTACTGGGTCACTCCATTCACTGGGTTGTTTCAGTCCTCAAATTACAAACACCTGAACATCATGGACTTCCACAGCTCAGTAAATCTGAATTGTTCTGGGTCTCTTATGCTTCACTCAAGGAACGTGTGGGAGTTTCTAGAGACAAACTATCCTCAGGTTTAAAGATGCTGTCAATGGCATCAGTGCCCGTGGTAATAGAGCACATGTGGCTGAGAGCAGTTCTGCTGCTTCAATCATCAATACAGTTAGTAGTCAGAATACTAAAATGACAGTCATTACTCAAGTAACTATTATAATATAAGGTGGTCTTAACCATAACCCTTTATTACAGGCTCTAGAATTAAATTGGTTTGACTCCCTACTCTACCTACCATGCAACTTTGGGCAAGTTTTCTTTTTAACATTAACATGAGTGCCTATTACCTCAGAACTGGATGAGGGCTAAAGTGCTTTAGAACAATGCTTGGCTCCTATTTTTACATCATCTTTAGGAATTGGTCTGTAAACTGAATACTACTTTGATAATTAGAGTTATGCACTTGTATAACACACAAGGACCACACGCTCTAGTCATACCACTTTTATTTACATTGTATATCTATGTTACATTGTTTAATCAATATAGAAAAAATATGAATACACTCATAGTATTCTCTTTTAATTTGGTAATTCCGCATTGTCAAATATTGACTGTTTTTATATTGGGCTTCCCACCCAATTTAAAAAGGAAAGAATGGATCTGGTGAGCAGTTCACATTATGACACTAATACATTCCTCTTTTTTTTTTTCTTTTTTAAACAACCTAATTTTTTTAAGATTTCTTATCAAACTATTGCTTACTGGGTTGGGGAAATGTTTTAAAAGACAGAAATTAATTTGTTCTTCCCCCAAGAACAATTTTAAGGTAAACATCTTAAAATGCCTCAGTGATCCAGAAGAAAATTTGTGTTCCTTATAAAGGGGTCAATGAAAAATCAAGTGGTAGATCCCCACCTGCACAGTGTGCCATGTATATTCATATACACTGTTGCCCAAAAAAGCCAAAGACACTCAAAAAGATCACATTAACAAGATTATGCTGGAGAAAAGAAAAATCCACACTTAGAACATAAGGTTTCTTTTTAAAAATCCATGTTGCAAGTAGAATCGAAGATTATTTCTTTAGGACATAATACTTTGATTAAATGGGTAAAACTCACAAATCAGTGCTACAAATACAGTGTTTTCCATCACTTTTACTTACAATGTACACTATGTACATTAAGATAGGTAATTCTTGTCTTTAACTAAATACAAATGAACAAATAGCTTGTTAAAAGCCAGCATCAGGACTTATAAACAGTGCTGAAAATGCAAACGCCAAGAATACGATGCCTCCTATGATTGTCACTGTAAAAGAGAAAAAAATTAAATAAGGCACTATTTCTCTGTGAGGGAACTAAGATATTGCCTATTACTCCTCCAAACTAATAAGCTAACCTTGAAAACAAGTTAGAAACACTTAACCCCCCATTTTCACAGTAAAGAACCCTTCACTTGCCTGACTTTGAACAGTAAGAATCAGGTGCTTTTCTAGCGTTGTTTTAAAAAATGACAGGATTAGGCAGAGATAGCGCAGATGAGCAGCAATGGAGCTACAACTCATTTTAAAACCCAGCTATAAAAAGAGTGTTCAACTACTTCTAACATGCAGAGATTGTTTTTATTCTATCTTTAGAACCTACCAGCGACAGGAAATTTCAGTAGAAAGTTCTCCTATTTCCACATGATTGTTTTACTGACTTAAATATGTTGACAAAAAAACACTATGAATCCAGGAATCCTTTTAGATTAATTTGTATTTCACGAACATATACACATGAAAAATGGTCCATCTTTGCAATAGCAGGGACAATAAAATGGACTGCTAAGATTACCAGTGTTCTTGAGTGAAAAACTTTTTCTAATCTCTCTCGGTGATTCAAGAGTTATAACAGATGGTATTTTTTTTGTAATTAAAATAAAAGACTCACCAGTTCTGACAGAGATTTTCTGGGCTATCATTCTTCCTCCGATCACTGCCAGCCCGGTACACAAGCAGTGTCCCACTGTCCCACCCACTGCCACACCACAGGGGTCCTGGAAACAAGCATAACATCAAT